AATGACACACTGTTAACAGGCGTCTAAAACGTCCACATTAAGCCCCTTTGGAAATCGAAAACACTATTAACGTTAGCTATTCTACATCCACAGTAAAAGTTCAAGATCTCTTTTCCCAAGAAATCCTTAATAAATATCAATTAACGACCACGACCTTTCTTAGCGTCTTCATTAAAAATATGCAATACCCGTCCCTATTGTGCTCGGCAACTTTTAAGCAACTTTTGGCGTTGGAGGAACTTTTTACGATTCTGGTAACAGCAAGAATTTTTTGCATTTGTATATTTGAGAAATTTTTTCGCAAAATAATGTTTAGAGCACATGTCAATTGAGCAGAAACATGTCAACGATTTCATATGAAACTTCAATTAATGCAAATTTCTCGAATGTTTCTCAACCTTTTGAACATATAACCTGTCATTTGGCATCGTTTGGTTCGACAAGACACTAGATGAAGCATGTGTTTTTTTCTGTTGGACTTAAGTCATGAATATCCTTAAATTTCGCTGGCATTTACGAGCAACTCGTCAGTTCGACTTAAGTCATGAATATCCTTAAATTTTTCCCATGTTTTCGTGCATTTCTTTAAAGGAAAGTTTCAAAATATTTTTCTTGAGTAAAGTTGGTGATTATTGTGGAGAACGAACAATAAAAACTTGGATTACCTTTTATTCCAAAAAAATCAAGAAACTTAGGTAGAAGCTTTTAAAATTTGGATAGCAACGTTTTGGATTTTGGCACTCTTTTGGCAATCTTTTGGGAATTCTGGCAGGCAACTTTCCAGCATTTTGGGAGCACAGCGGGACGTGCATAATATCTGCCCCGGAGCAACACTTCATTGGCGCCAAGATCTCGTCTAGCTAGAAGTTGTATATAAATTACTCCGATTGGCAAATATTTAACCATTTTTAAATCTTTAAAAGATTGTAAATGAGTTTCAAAAACTGTTTTCTTCTGCTATGACTTATTTAAAACAATTGCATTTAGATGGTTCGCACTCGTAGAAACCTAAATATAGAACTTCTTTAACTAGGAACAGGTGGAATTCAGATAACAAATAAGAAATACCTAGTTTGAGCTCAAGGAAAAGTAGTTAACAGACCTCTAGCATTTTTAGATTTGCTCGTACCACTGTGGTTTTCAGGCTAAAATTATGACCATGATCGAAGAAAATAATAAACTGTACTTTGAAACAGCACCTGGTCACATCTAGATAAACAGACTTAAATACATGACTAACCCAGCACACTGTTTATTCCTAAGAATATCCAATATTTGGTATTTCCCCTGGGAATCGAGTCACGGAAAGAGTAATAGATTTCTTTCTTTCCCAACCTGCTTGTGCTGGTCAACTAAGGAAATTTTCGGGAAACCGTTTTGTTCTTATTTTATACAACTGTCTTCCATTTTAAAATGAAATTGTGGAAAAATATTTTTTGTGTTCGTAGTATTACAATTTGATGGTAGGTCATTTGTTTACGTAGATGCGAAACACTATCACTTAGCCCCTTTTTCAACTCGCAATTCCATCTTAAATGCTTACTCCCGCTCTCCAGCTATATTCGTCTATTTCTTGCTGTTTTCTACCTGCTGTGAATATCTGGACTTAAACACTTATCTAATTAAGCCAGCAT